CTTAGAATGAAGAGGTAAGAGTGAGAAAAAATATGGACACTTTTGAGTCAGACAGAAATAAAATACCAACATTTCTGAGAAGCAATATTTATTGTATTTTTTTTTGTCTTTTCTTTTCTTTTTTTTTTTTTTTTTTTTTTTTTTTTTTTTTTTTTTTTTTTTTTTTTTTTTTTTTTTTTTTTTTTTATGTAGAGACATGTCCTGAATTTCCCCAAAGCCTAGACTGGGAAAATAAAGACTTCTTGGTGTTATAAGTAAATCCGTCTGCAGAATCGAAGCAGCACCAACATTCAAAAAAACTGAAGAGGAAAATACAACAAAACACAACAATCTCTTTTTTTTATTCTTATTATTTATGTAAATCAGGTCATCACTGGACAAGAAACCAATTTCTACCCATTACCATAACATCTTGTCTATAAAGAACAGAAAAGATTCAGATAGGATACTATCTAGTCAAGCGGGACTTTTTTTTGTTGGTTTTATTTTTTCTTTCTTTTTTGTTTGGTTTTTATTTTATACTTTTCATTTTTAAATTCCCCCACCCATTCACAGAGGTATAGAGTCACAGATAAATAACCCAAAAACTACTTGCTCGCCATATTTACACATTCCCGTTAAATTAAGCATAAATAAATATATACAAACTCAATACTGAATGCCTCTCCGCATTTCTTCTCAGGAAGAGTCGATAAACTGATATTTCTCACTGCATGGTCAGATTTTTTAAGAAGAGGAGGTGAAAGGGATCGTTTGGGGCATAAAAGGAGATTTTTTTTTTCTTTCATCTTTCCAGTTTCTCATTCGCATTTTCATAGCTTTGCGTTTGTTTGGGTCTTTTTTTTTTTTTTTTGGTTTTTTTTGTTCTTTATTTCTTGCTGGCACACAGTGTTTCGTCTCTCTCGAAATGTTCAGGCGTTTGCCAGTGTGTTTGGGGATGTTTTCTTTTATTTTTTTTTTTCCCTTTGTATAAGAAAATATACTATTTGTAAAAAGCCTACGGTCTCTCTCACACAGGCAAGCCGGAGGGGAGGGGGAGGTTGGCTGGGTCGATCTGGTAAATGCTTACGGCAGCTGAAACAAGCACCAAATTCTCCGAGAAATGTATTAAAACAGAGCCGGGCAGGTCTGTGTGATAAACCGGTCAGAAAGAGAGGAGCAGGAGAAGGGAATAAGCCCTTTGGGCACAGCTAAAGGTCTTAAAACCATCCTTCCCCCGCTCCCTCCCAACCCCAAATGCAAATTTGGGGATTTGGGGAGAGATTGGTCTGGGATGCAAAGGGACTTTAAACAGCTTCTCACAGAGAATTTCTATTAGGTGGGACAAGACACAACCCGATTTTAAAGAAACCATCGGGTTGTAAAAGCATTCCCATAAAATTGGCTTCTTGTTTCCATCACATCTTGAATGTGAATAACAACCAGGAAAACAAAAAATCAGGGAGAATATGAAAGAAAAAATCTTTCCAATGGCAAATAAAGACTTGTTATTTAAAAAAAAAAAAAAAAAAAAA